CCCTAGAGTCCAGTTGTCCTGGATTCCCCCCACCTCCTGTGCATATCCTGCTCCCTCTTCCCTCCATCAGGCAGACCCATAATCATCCTTCAAAGTCTAGCTGAGGGTCACCTCCTGTGTGGAATCCTCTGGTCTCTCCTCCTGGCAGAGTGGGAGTGTGGCCTTGCCCCAGCACTCTACATACGGCACTCACCATACAGCACTTATTCCATGCTGAAATTGCTGTGTGTTTCCACCTCCCGCACCAATTTGAGCTTACATTTCACTCATCTTAGCAAATCCAACAGTGCACATTGCCTGGCCAGAGATGTAGTGGCTCAGCAAATGTTTCTTGAATTAATGAACAGCATGACCCTTGCAAATATTTTCCAAGAGAGAAAGCAAGGAGACCCCCTAAGGCACTCAGAGTTCTTACTGTTTTGTTATGTGCAGGTTCGTGTCTTGCTTTTTAAATTTAAAAATAATAATGCCGCAGGTTTATTGGACACTTGCTAAGTGCATAATCATGTTTAAATCCTAAACAGCCATCTGAGGCGGAGGTTATTATTGCATAGGTTTACAGCTGAAAAAATGGAAATTGAGGGAAGTTAAGTATATCCATATTCATACAACTGGTAAGTGGGAGTCTGTTAGGTTTCAAAGCCTCCTCTCTCAGCCACCAGGCCTTCCACGCAGCCTTTCTACAGAACACGAATTACAATATGAATACTTTATCATTAAGCTATTTTAATGTCTTTATTATATAAAGACTAAAATTCGACGTATGGTTATACTACCTTGCTACTCAACGTGTGGTATACTCACAGCAATACGAGTATTATATACCAACACGAGTGGTATATTGGAACTTGTTAGAAGTGCAGGATCTCAGAAACCCTGGATCTACTGACTCAAAGTCTGCATTTCAACAAGGTTCTTCATCATGTATATGCACATTAAAGTTTGAGAAGCACTAGTTTAGATCAGGAGTCAACGAAGAATAGCCATGGGCAAAACCCAGCCCAGTCCCTGTTTTGTTTTGTTTTGTTGTTTTTTGTTTGTATGGACCATGAGCTAAGAATGGTTTTCACATTTTTAAATAGTTGAAAAATTTTTCAGAAGTAAATTTATGACCCGTGAAAATTATGTAAAATTCGTATTTCAATGTCCATAAAAAAGTTTAATTGAAACACGTTCATTTGTTTACTTACTGCCTATTGTTGCTTTTGAACTGCAGTGGCTGGCAGGCTTGAGTAGTTATGGAAGATGTATGGCCCACAAAGATATTTACTATCTGGTCCTTTAGAGAAAAAGTTTGATGATCTCTTTCCAATTCCGTCCCCCACCTGCAGCCACCAGCTCATAATGGGCATGGGGGGAAAGGCAGGCGACACTTGGGAGGACTAAGGAAGAAAGAGTGTCCCCAGGCAGAGGCAGAGCTCAGCTGAAGCAAGGGTACTCTGGTGACTGATGGAAGGGGATTTGCCATGGAGCAGAAGTCTGGAGGGAGGAGGAGTGAGCTGAGCACATAGTATGGTGAGATGGAGGTGGAGGGGGGGAGGTGGTGAGGAAGAGGAAGCACAGAACAGTGAAAAGACCAGAGTATAGGAGAACATAGGCCACATGGGGAGGGAGCTCCTCAAAGGTGCAAGGGTGGCCAAGGCCAAGAATGAGAGGTCAGGTGGTGTTCTCAGCCTCAAGATTCCCCACAGAGCCCAGTTATAGTTGTTTTGAGACTGTGGCAAGTTGAAGGGTCAGGTGGTGTCCTAGTTGTTGAAATTGGCAGACTTTTCCTGGAGTTTCCAGACTGTGAGGGTGAAAGGTATCCCTAACAAATCCTAAACTTGATGTGAATAGGGACGAAATTAACTAGCTCTTTGCACCTTTATCTTGAGACAGAATCAGTTTTTTGCTTAAAGAGCTTGTTACATATGCAGACTCTCAGGCTCACCCAGAAGGTGCCTGATCCAGTGGGAATCTGTATTTTACAAGCATCCCAGATGATTCAAATGCTTGGAGAAATACTGCTTCAGTGAATGAAAGAACTCTGGAAGGAACCAGCTTGAATAGATCATGCCTCTAAAAGGAATCATTTATATGGGTAAGAGGCTGCCTTCTGGTTTGCGACGGTGTGTAGGCCTTCAGGAAGAAGCAGTGGCATTAGAGAGGAATTGATGGGCTCTATCTGCTAATACCAATGAGCAAGTGGTGGGGGAATGTCGAAGTCATCTGGAAACTCAAGGAAAGGCTGGGGATTGAAGCTAAGGGTTCTAATCCAGAGGATACCACCGATGGTCGTTTGATAGCCAGAGAATAGAAATACCTGCCTCTCCATGAAAAGATGCTCAACGTCGCTCCGCATCAGGGAAATACAAATCAAAACCACACTCAGATATCACCTCACGCCAGTCAGAGTGGCCAAAATGAACAAATCAGGAGACTATAGATGCTGGAGAGGATGTGGAGAAAAGGGAACCCTCTTGCACTGTTGGTGGGAATGCAAATTGGTGCAGCCACTCTGGAAAACAGTGTGGAGGTTCCTCAGAAAATTAAAAATAGACCTACCCTATGACCCAGCAATAGCACTGCTAGGAATTTACCCAAGGGATACAGGAGTGCTGATGCATAGGGGCACTTGTACCCCAATGTTTATAGCAGCACTCTCAACAATAGCCAAATTATGGAAAGAGCCTAAATGTCCATCAACTGATGAATGGATAAAGAAATTGTGGTTTATATACACAATGGAGTAGTACGTGGCAATGAGAAAGAATGAAATATGGCCCTTTGTAGCAACATGGATGTAACTGGAGAGTGTTATGCTAAGTGAAATAAGCCATACAGAGAAAGACAGATACCATATGTTTTCACTCTTATGTGGATCCTGAGAAACTTAACAGAAACCTATGGGGGAGGGGAAGAAAAAAAAAAGGAGGTTAGAGTGGGAGAGAGCCAAAGCATAAGAGACTCTTAAAAACTGAGAACAAACTGAGGGTTGATGGGGGATGGGAGGGAGGGGAGGGTGGGTGATGGGCATTGAGGAGGGCACCTTTTGGGATGAGCACTGGGTGTTGTATGGAAACCAATTTGACAATAAACTTCATATATTGAAAAAAAAAAGAAAGAAAGAAACACCTGCCTCTCCCTAATGACATGAGCATCTCAAGTGATACTGGATAGGCTCAGGGTAACCATAGGCAGGTGGCAGATTTAGTATGTATTTATGTTGTTTTCTGACCATTGTTAGATTTCACCCCCACTCCTACCATTTCTATGGTCTCATATGACTGCACGGTATATATATTTTCTCAGGTGCTAGATGGGGCCTCTGTGCCAATTAAATTAAGATATTGGCCCTCAAGGAATCTCTGACACCAGGGTAGATATGCAGGGTAGATAAGCTGTGAACAGCTAATTTTTCACAAATTACAAAAATAAAAATATCAGGTAGCATGAATACAAGGCATTGTCTCATATATCAATACTTCAGTCCCCTAAAATAGATGGGTAGGGAGAAGGACAGGATGGGAAATTAGTGCTTATTTTAATCTGCTTTGAAGCCACTATGGAAGAGCGGTTGTCTTCTCTGTTTTTGTGTTTAAGGAAACCATGCTGGAAGCAACTGCATTTGAGGCACAGCATGAAACATCTGTCCTGTTTTGGCTTCTCATTGAGATGTTGGTTCAGCTTTTGCAGGCAGCACCTTGCTGCCTTGAGACAAAAAACATTCCCAGGCTCTTTAAGCTATTATGTAGGGTTTCCATGAGGAACTGAGTGCATTTAAACAGACTCTCCAGCCCACCCAGGAATATAGGTCTGACCCTTAAGGATAGTAAGTCAGGGAGTCAGATCCAAGAAAGGCTGACACTCCCTGTCCAGTTATTTTTAAACCCCAGAGGCTACTTCTGCATGTGATATCACTTATGTAACTTCTCTTTGCAAGGACCCTTATGTGCCCCAGCCCACCCTCCACACCCACCCCGCCCCGTAGCATCAGCACAGTGACACATGTGCAGCTCCACCCAGCTGTGAATTTGCCAACAGTTTAAGAATGTGGACGTTGTGTAAATAAACACACAAAAATGAAATTGGCTTTTGTGCAACCAGCTTTCAGAAGTTACATTTTGTTCTTTTAGGTTTAAAATTTCAGTCCAATGGGATAAGAAAATAGCCCAAACTATATTACAAATCCAACTAAGAATTTCCATTACCAGAAATAGCATTATGTTACTTTTGGATAAAAGATTTTTAATTTATACTGCAGCTCCCATGTAAGGATATGACTATTAATCTAGAATAATCTTACTAGTTTCTATATGCTGGATTTATAAATGAGTTTATGAGTAAGACCATATATTAAAACTTTTAAATAAATTCTAACAGTAATTAGTGACCATCCATTCTCTAAAAAGTGGACACTAACTAATGGGATTTTGCTTCAAGGAATCTGGCCTATTAAATATGACATTAAAAATTCATCTATTTAAAAAGCTTCAAATGTCAGTGAAGGAACAAAGCTGTCAAATGCTAGGAACATTTCATTAAGAAAACAACCTCAAACACTGATGGGATTTGATGAAGTTGGGGACTCAGACAAGCTTTACCTGCCAGTGAAGCAGCTATTGATATTGTTTACTGATATGTTTATTGTTTCCCACTAAAAGAGCAGGAAAACAGAAATATGGTGTCCTGAATTGAAATTTCTCCTTTTCTGCAGTTCTACTAGCCCAGTCCTATTATAAATAAAACCTGTATAGAACTAAATTAACATCAGCTTATGGAAAATCATGACATCAATACTATAGTTAATTTGATTAGCATAACTAGGCTAAGAGAAGAATACAATAGGTAACATGTATAGTAATTTAGAAGGGTCATTTTAGCAATTTCTTTTAATCTTCCTACTACTAAGTGTTTTAGTAGGGCTCCTTTTGGCTGCAAGTAACAGAATGTCCCAATAACAGCAGTATAAAAAATAAGGTGTCCAGTTTCTGTTGCCACATAATAAACCATCCCCAAACTTAGTGACTTAAAAATAACATTTATTTTCCTCCTGAATCTGTAGTTTGGGAAGGACTTGGTGGAGGGAAGCTTGTCTCTTCTCGTTGACATCAGCTAGGGCAGCTTGAAGACTGAGGGCTGGAATCATCTGCAGACTGGTTCACTCACATGTTTGTTCATCCTTGATGGGGAGAGTGAAAGAGCTGGAGCCTGATAACAGCTGAGGCTCCTCAGGCATCACTATCTCAATGTGGTCTCTTACATGGTTTCTCCAGCATGGCAGCTTTGGTGTAGACTGACTTCTGATATGTCAACTCATGGCTCCCAAGTCGCACATGAGAAGAGGAATAATAAGGCAGAAACTGTATCACCTTTTATGACCTAACCTGAGAATCATGCAGTATCCCTCCCACTGCATTCTATTTGCTGGAAGCAACTCACTAAGTCTGGCCTATATTCAGGAGAAGGATCTTTTAATGGGAGAAGTGTCAAAGAATTTGTAGCCATGTCCTAAGACCACTACATAGGGATTTGCTTTTCATATACAATGCTAGAGGGAGGCAGTTCTGTATAATGTGGGCTCCATGATATGATAAAAACGAAGGTTTCTTCTACAATTCTACTCTACCATTTTAGTACATTGGTGTATTATCTCAAAGTTGCTGGGTGACTGTTGTAGATTCAGGCATCACAACAATGGTCAAGACCAAAAGAAGTGGAAGGTGTAGTACCAGCAGCTTCTGGCCTCTTTGATCAGGAAATAAAAGATCCTTCCCAGAACCCTCCACTCCAGAATTCCACTTCTGCTGCATTGGCTGGAACTCTGTCAAAAGGCCACCCCTTGCTTCAGAGGAAGTTAAGAACAGTGAATATTTAGCTTCTCCATTCTATTGTAGCAGTAGGCAAGGGCAGAGAAATCTGGAAATGGGCATTGGGTCAGCCAAGCCATGCTTCTGCCCTGATAAACCTCCATATCAGACCCATAAAATCACAAGTGGGAGGAGTTTCAAAGAGTTCCTTCTCCTCCCTCAGCCGATGTTAACAATGAAATGATCCAAATATGGTTAGCAAAGGGAGACTGCATCAGCTAATGAATGGAATCATTTACAGCTATATATTTGCAAATAGAATCAAAAGCTAGATAGTGAATTCAATGAATCCTTTATACAGTTTAAACAGGAAGCAGAACTAGGTCACCACAGAAACATTTGTCAATAAGATAGGGAGGACGTGGAGGAGAGGAGATCACTGACTTGTGATAAGATGTTAAAATTGCCTAGCAGATTACCTTAGGTTCAGAGGCCCAGGGCCCAGAAATAATTTGGGGACAGGGAATAATGAAACTATTAACTTACAGCCCTAACTCAAATTTTATATCTTACTTTATAGAACATTCCTTTTTTTTTTTTTTTTTAGGCTTCTGTTGTTCACTAGTGAGTAGAAACAGGAAAAATACTGAGTTGATGTATTTTCTTTAACCCATCTGCAACAAATATTCAAATTTAAGCTTTAAAGTTTTATAACATTTAGCTAAAGAAAAAAAATCAAAATTCCTTTCTTTCCTCCCTGTAAGCACAGAGCTCCCCAGGTCTGTTGTCTCATGGTATGGTCTCAAACAAGTTAAAGAAATCACACTGCAACAGGCATTTTCTGAACCCTTTACTCATACAAGCATTAGCAAATGACCCCAACAATACCTAAGACTGAAAAATGAGACAACTGGATTTATTGATGCTGATGGTGTAGAGAGCTCTTTCCCAGGCAGATTAACAGACATTCATGAAAACACATGTGCTTGAGGGGAGATATGAGTATGAAAAAAGTATGTGCCAGGGCACCTGTGTAGGTCAACTGGTTGAGCGTCTGTCTCTTGTTTTCGGCTCAGGTCATGATCTCATGGTTTCCTGGGTTCCAGCCCAGCATCTGGCCCATGCTGGCATTGCAGAGCCTGCTTAGGATTCTCTCTCGTGCTCTCTGCCCCTCCCCACTCACACTGTCTCTATCTCTCTCAAAAATAAATTTTTAAAATTAAAAAAAAAAAGAACAAGAAAAAAGTATGTGCCCACAGTGAGAATCCCAGTAAATCCCAGGCCACAGTTTGCAGTAAGTATAAGGAAATAAATGAGTGGTTAAGTCTCAGAGAAAATGGAATGGGGAATAGGAAAACATTTCCTTTATAATGAAAGAACTCTAACATAAGCAAAGTAAATAATTTCTCCAAACTGATATGGCACATATTAAACAGAAAAAAAAAAAAAAGTCTAGGCATTCTCAAGCATTCCTGTTTGTATTTGGGACAGAAAGTCATGCAGGTCTGCCACAGCAACTTCTGACTCAACGCGTCTCCGGAGGCAAGGGAAACCAAAACAAAAATGAACTATTGGGACCTCATCAAAATAGAAAGCTTCTGCACAGCGAAGGGACCATCAGCAAAACTAAAAGGCAACTGACGGAATGGGAGAAGGTATTTGCAAACAACATATCAGATGAAGGTTTATTATCCAAAATCTATAGAGAACTTACTAAACTCAACACCCAGAAAACAAATAATCCAGTGAAGAAATGGGCAAAAGACATGAATAGACACTTCTCCAAAGAAGACATCCAGATGGCTAACAGAAACATGAAAAAATGCTCAACATCACTCATCATTAGGGAAATACAAATCAAAGCCATAATGAGATACCACCTTACACCTGTCAGAATGGCTAAAATGAACAACTCAGGCAACAACAGATGTTGGTGAGGATGCGGGGAGAGAGAGGATCTCTTTTGCACTGCTGGTGGGAATGCAAACTGGTACAGCCTCTCTGGAAAACAGTATGGAGGTTCCTCAAAAAATTAAAAACAGAACTACCCTACAACCCAGCAATTGCACTACTAGCTATTTATCCAAGGGATACAGGTATGCTGTTTCAAAGGGACACATGCACCCCAATGTTTATAGCAGCACATACTTTATAGCCAAAGTATGGAAAGAGCCCAAATGTCCATCGATGGATGAATGGATAAAGAAGATGAGGTATATATACATAATGGATTATTGCTGGGCAATCAAAAATAATGAAATCTTGCCATTTGCAACTACGTGGATGGACTAGAGGGTATCATGCTAAGCAAAATTAGTCAGAGAAAGAAAATATCATATGACTTCACTCATATGAGGACTTTAAGATACAGAACACATTAACAGAAGGGAAGGGAAGCAAAAAGAATATAAAAACAGGGAGGGGGACAAAACATAAGAGACTCTTAAGTATGGAGACCAAACAGAGGGTTACTGGAGGAGTTGTGGGAGGGGAGATGGGCTAAATAGATAAGGGGCATTAAGGAATCTACTCCTGAAATCATTGTAATACTAGATGTTAACTAACTTAAATTAAAATTATAAATTGTAATTAAAAAATAAATTTTTTTGTAAATTAAAAATTTTTGTAAATTAAAAAAATAAAAATTAAAGTAAAAAGATATGAAAATACACAAAAAAAAGTCATGTAGGTCTTTGTTCTAAACAACTAATCTGATCTAACATGAAATAGACATTTTTTTAAGGTTTATGCATTTTTCAGAGATAAAGACAGAGCATAAGTGGGGGAGGGCAGAGAGAAGGAGACACAGAATCTGAAGCAGGCTCCAGGCTCTGAGCTATCAGCACAGAGCCCGACACAGGGCATGAATTCACAGACCTCAAGATCATGACATGAGCTGAAGTCAGACACTTAACCAACTGAGCCACCCAGGCACCCCGAAATAGACATTTCTTAAACAAAATCATAAAACATATGTATGGGAGTTACCAGTCTTTTTTATCACTTATAAGGTAATATTCTGTTTTCAATGTTTCTATCATCTGTACAATTTTAATTTTTTTTAACGTTTATTTATTTTTGAGACAGAGAGAGACAGAGCATGAACGGGGGAGGGTCAGAGAGAATGGGAGACACAGAATCGGAAGCAGGCTCCAGGCTCTGAGCCATCAGCCCAGAGCCCGATGCGGGGCTCAAACTCACGGACGGTGAGATCGTGACTTGAGCTGAAGTCAGACGCTTAACGGACTGAGCCACCCAGGCGGCCCATCATCTGTACAATTTAATTAGGAAGTAAAGAATCAGCTTATAGAGATCATGAGCCCACATGCCTCTTACTCATATTTCAAATTATAATCCTATTGCAATGATTTTTGATCCTCAAAGAGTGCAACAAAATAATATATTGAACTTTTTCTTGTTAAAAAAAATACCAATTTAGAGACCTACTATAAGATACTTCAGATAGTCTCAAGCCAAGTAGCAAAATTCTAAAGTGCAGAAACTATCATAAACTTACTTTGTAACTCTCAAAAGCTACTGCCAACAGTTCTAGGCCCAGAATAAGTGTTTAGTTCATACTCACAAAATTTCATTGAATGTTCAACATCTCACAAACACACACACACACACGCACACACACACACACACACACATATATACACATATATATATTCTTTGTGTATGAAAATATTTCTGAGATCAAACATTTTCCACACTAAGTAGAAATTCCCATTGGGTTGTAAATGAAAAGATTTATTAGATATTACTCAATTAGGTGACAATATTAATAGCCCCCATTAAACACTAATTTGCTCTTTATTCTGCAAAGACTAACACAGATGTAAAACAGGGGTTGGCCACCCTCAGAACATATGTCTAAGACAACAAGAAAGCTGAGAATAATTTGGAACATGAGCCGGTTGTCCTTTCCATACCTCCCTTTCTACTGCCAATTCTGCCACCGATGGAATTTAGCACTTTCCTATAGCATGTTCAACATCCTCGATGCTAGTAGTTTTGGGGTGTGTGTAGGATATGTGTGCGCACCCACACGTTAGATCAATAAGCGTTTGTCAAGTGTCTGCTCCCAGGCATCATGCTGGTGTTACAGATACAGTTGCGAAAGGTGCAGCATTGGGAGTCCGGCTGTCTAAATTCACACCATCTCATCATTCACTAGTTATATGGCCTCAGGCAAGTCCCTTAGCCTCTAAGCCCCCAGCTTCTTTGTCTGCAAAATGAGGGTGCTAATAATGCCTACCTCGTGAATCCCTTGTAAATATTAAATAACTCATACACAGAGCATGGCACCTACTGACTGCAACAAACTTAGCTAGCATCATCATCATTGCATGGTCCCTCAGTCTTTACCCATCAGTAAACTAGAAGGAAAAGACACATACACAGATTATTCCAATTTTTGTGCTATGGTAAGTGGAACTCATAAGAGAGGCATTTATCTCAACTTGGAATTCAAGAAAGGTCCCTGAGCTGAGAGTTGAAAGATGAGTAGATTTAGCCAGATGAAGAAATGTTCCGGAGAGAAAAGCTTCAGCAAAATCACAGGGAGCATGTTGTGGCAGGAAGTGGATATGGTTTGCTGTTA